CTGGTTGCCCTTTCTGAGACATTCCTTCCCCAGCCTTTAGTCTTCAGTTGCTCTTGTGTTGTATCAGGAATTGAAAAGCTGATCCCCACCCCCCATCCCCACCCCCCGAAGTAGATCACCAGGCTTTTCTTCCAAGGTACCTTTGGGTAGACTTGGACCTCCATCTTCTGGTTAACAGCTGAACGTTTAAGGCATTTGGGAGCTTCTTGATCCAGGGACACCTATCAAGAGAGACCTAGAGCCTGGGGCCCTTCTGCAGCTGAGCTCCTAGCTCTGCCAGAAGGGGGGAGCTGTCCATGGTCTACATTGGCACCCTCCCTCCCCCCGACCCTGCCCACCCCTTCCCCATCACAGTCCTGGGCTGTCAATCCAACCAGGACCAGCGTGGCCAGATGTTGATGATAGTTTGGAAAGAAGTTTGGAAAATGCCAAGTTTTATAGGTGAGTGTGAAGGAATCCTGGGAAGCAGGTCCCCCGAGGAACTGAGCTACTGACCCTGTGAAGCAGAGGCAGCCCGAGGAGGACACACCTGATAAATGCGCCCTGCGTTTGAAAGGCACTGACCTCACTTGCAGCTGTCCACACTTTTGGACTTTGTCTTGTGTGTGCTGCTCTTGAAAGTCTCCTGAGTGAACTTGAGGAGGGCTCCAAGGCAAGGAAGAGGGTCACCAGCTGGGGGGACAAGGGACGCGTGGTGGTGGTATTGGGAGGGACAGTGAGGAGGGACAGACTGCAGAGGGAAGGGGCTTGTGAGGCCCCCTGGACCCCTCCTTGAGCTCCATGTTGCTGCCTGCACCCCCAGGGGGATGTGGGCTCCTGCTTTGGGTTTTGGTATTCAGAGAACATTGCTCAACAGCTTTGGATATTGTCAGGGGTCTTCCAGCCTGCGAACAGCAGACTGAGCCGTGTCCAGCTCTGCACTGTCTTTGCTCTCACTGGCTTGAGTCCATTGTGTGGCCACTGCATCAGTCCATCTCACGGAGGGTTCTTCTGAGACACAGTGCCTTTCTCCAGTGTTTGGTCTTTCATGCTGACTTTCCCGAAGCGAGCGAGTGGAAGCCTGGCTGTCTTCGCTTCTGAGGTTTTGTTGCTTCTAAGACTGACGTCGTCATTCTTCTGGACGCGCCTGCTTTCTTCTGAGGCCCAGTGCAAACTGATAATAATATATGTCAGTTGAAAGTAAAGCTTTGTTCAGTAGACTTCACCAACACCACAGTTCAAATGCATCGATTCTTCTCTGGTCCTCCTTATTCACTGTCCAGCTTTCACGTGCATATGAGGTGATTGAAAATACCAGGACTTGGGCCAGATGCACCCTAACCCTCAAATTGACATCTCTGCTCTTGAACACTTTAGAAAGGTCTCGTGCGTCGGATTTATCCAGTACACTATGTAGTTTGATTTCTTCACTGCTGTACCCATAGAAGTTGATTGTGATCCAGGTAGAATGAAATCCTTGACAACTTCAAGTACCTGCAGATGTTGTTGTGAAGTGCCATTGAGTCAGTTCTGACTCATAGCATCCATGTGTCGGGTTTCCAGTGGTTAGCAGTCCAGTGCTGATCCTACAGCGCCACATCAAGACTCCTTAGGAAGGAAATAAAGGGAAAAAAATAGTTAATTCCACGAGGGTCTAGTGAGGCCCCATACCTATGAAAGAGACGAGGCATGCAAGGAGAATTGGAATTGTGTGCGGTTATTTTCAAACTGATTAATAATTATATATCCGTTCAAGGTCAAGGTTTGTTTGGTGAGCAATTTGCTAAATATAAGTAAAAAAGCAGATGTTGGATTTGTCTGTGGGCAGTGCATTAAACTAGGTTATTTCTATAACTGTCTCAGGTTTTTTGTATTGCAGTAGATGGTACTGCTACAAAAGCCCTCTTTGAAGTGTTAAGGAGCAAAGCTGTCTATGTGTAGGGTAAGGGGCATTAGACCCAAGCCATGGTATTTTTAATCGCCTCATACGTATGTGAAAGTTGGACACTGAATGAGGAAGACCCTCGGAGAACTGATGCATCTGTGTTATGGTGTTGGAGGCGACTATCCCAAGTCCCATGGAGTGACCGAATAACAAACGCATCTCTATCGGGAAAAGTGTGGCAGGAATGCTCCTTAGAAGCCAATGGGGTGAGACTTGGACTCTTACACTTCGTCTCTTGTGCATGTTATCAGGAGGGACCAGTCCCTGGAGAAGGCGCTGTGCTTAGTAGAACAGAGGATCAGTAAAACAGAGGAAGACCCCCAATGAGATGGACTGATACAGTGACAGCAGTGATGGGTCAAACATAACAACAGTTGTGAGGCTGAAACAGGTCCCATCATGGCTTCGTCATGCTGTTCTTTGTTGTCACTGTGAGCTGGTACTGACTCCATGGCACCTCACAACATTTGACTTTCATGGAGAATTCTGGGCGGCAAGCATCCTGCCTGGTCAGTGCGGTGATTGTGTAAAGATGGCCACACCAGAACGATTGTTCTTGTGGCTGTCCCAGTTCCCTGTCTGCCAGGGTTCTCTGAAGGACAAGCACTTTGAGAAACGTGCTGGCTGCCAGCTCATCAGAGGCAAAGTCACAGAAGTGAAGCTCTCTCCGCCGCTCTTTCCAGCAGGCGACTGTCCCCACACTTACACTGGCCTTTTCATGTTTTTTTCCTGGGTTGTTCTTAATGTATGTAAAAATATTTAAAACCCTTGTATATGGCATTAAAAAACGATGTCAGCTGCCTTGATTTTTTCTATTTATTAAAACTTTTCAAGCAGTGAAAACATTTTACTTGTTAATGAGGGAAAGTGTGAGAATTAATGACATAGAGTGTGGATCTACCGGGTCCCCCTTAACCACACACAGCCCCAGCCTTTGCCGCTGCTGCTGCGTGGCGTTTAATTTCTGCGACAGGGTTCAGTAAGCAAATGCAAATAGATTTAATGATTTGCATCAGTAGATCATTTCTCAGTTTAATATCCTTTGATATTTTGGGTCAAGGACTCTTTCTTTGGGAGATGGGTGCAAATTCTAGAGCTAAAATTATTAATATTTGTAATATTGTGTTATGCTCAAGTGACATGAGAGAAATGTACTGTTTTCACAGAGTCAGGTTTGCACATTCCTCTGAAGCCAGAAAGAGAGACAGACAGACAGACAGACACGGGTCCCATGAATGTCAGAGGCCTTGTTGACCAGATGGTCGCTATGGCGATGCTTGGGGCCTCTCCTCTCTCAGGTAGGCCGAGGTGTGTGGAATCTGTCAGCCTACAGGGGCCACGCAGCATTTTTGTTACGTCAGCAGAGGAAAGAATTAAAATTAGAACTCGAGTCCATACGCACTCATTGACCTTTTCTATGCCAAGTTCTGTGGGAGCACAGGATGATGAAAAAGCTTGAAGCTGTCTTGGGAGAAGTTGTCTCAGGAGAGACAGAAACCTTGATAAATAACTGCTTCCTGAAACGTGAGGGGGTGGTGGAAATGTGCATACAAGCCACAGAAGAAGGGCTGTGGTGGTCTTGGGTGAAAGGGGGTTTACAGCTTTACTGGAGGTTTTACGGGGAAGGAGCAGACGACTTAGCTGTGAACATCCCCCTCCTTTTCCCAGGCCATCAGAGCCCATGTCCCCCTAAAAACAGTGTAGGGCAGCGGATGTTGACTTCCCAGCTTACCTGCTGCTGAGGGCCTGGGGCTGTAGACTAAGAACGCCCCTGGTTGATCTTTGGACACAGTTGTGACTCTAGTAGCTGGGGCAGCCACTTTGTGACCATGAGGAACTTAAAAGCGACTTTGCTTCAGTCTAGCAAGGTGGGGAGGGTTGGGGCCTTGCTGACTTTACTCAGGGCCCACCTGCCCTAAGCAGGTGCTCTCGGACTCAGTGTGTCCTTGTCGCATGGGCAAATGCATCTGATGTTGTTGTTATTGTTAGGTGCCATTGACTCGGTATCAACTCATAGCGACCTTACGCACAACAGAGTGATGAGCAGATACCATATTAGTTTGTGCTCATTTTAGCCAATACAGAAAAATAAAGAAGAGGAAACACTTAGAATTCTGCTACCCAGAGATAGCTCATTGTTATGTCTTAGTATAATTCCTTTTAACTTCTTCGTCTGTATGGGCTTAAAATCTTCCATATTCTACCTTCTTACACTGTCAAATAGATTTTAAAGCCTCAGTTTGTAAAGACTCATGTCGTATGGCTGTGACCTATGTTTAAAACCACTGCTGTCTTGTTAGGTATCCATTTCTGTTTTATTTTTTCCTGTTTTGCTGCTGCTGTTCTGCAATATACCTTCATGCTGAGCACCTTTGGACCCTCTGTGTGCACTGCTATGATGAGCTTGCTGCTGTCTCTCTCCCTCTGGTTTTTGCCCCTTTAGCAGTCATCGTAAGCAGCCCTGGATCAAATGCTTGGCTGGTTAAATGCTCAGCCGCTAACCAAAAGGTAATGGGTTTGAACCCACCAGGGGTACTGATGGAGAAATGACCTGGAAATCTGTCCCCTTAAAGATTCCAGCCTAGAAAGTACACAGGGGAAATTCTTCTCTGTCACACTGTGAATCAGTAACAGAGATACCACAAGGGGAAGGCTTTCGCAAACAGAAAATTTATCCTCTCACAAATTCAGGGTGCTGGTCCTAGGGGGACTTGTCTCTGTGCGTCTCCTTCCAGCATCTGTAAGCTCTGCTTGCTTTGGAGCTGTCCTGTTCCTGGCCTTCAGTTTGCCCGGGATCCGTTCCAGTGAAAGAATGCGCTCTTCTTTCTGAGGGAAGGAGGTCCGTCTCTCTGCTCTTTTCTCCCTCCTTTTATCTCGTGTATTATCAAAGGTGATGTAGGCCATACCCCAGGACGCTCCCCTTACCTGGGCTCGGGTGTTGCATCCACTGATGGGGGCTTAGCCCAGTAGATCCCATCAGGAGGGGTGGTTATGTCATTGCAGAGCTGCCATGTTACTCAGGCCACGCCCCTGCACAGCTGACACGGTTTCCGATGGCGCAGTACAACCACTGGAGTCCTTCTGAAAGTCAGATGTAGACACGTCAGCCCCTGGAAGGACACCTCGCTCTTCCTGTGATAAGAAGCCACTCTGGCTCTGTGTTTCCACCTCCGGGACCCCAGGCGCCACCTGCATGTCCCTGACTCTGCTGTCTTGGATTTCTGATGCCCAGCCCCTGCTAGGATGGTAGCATGCTGGAACAGGCTCGGAGCTCCGAATCTGGGCCTAGACTTCCAGATTTGAGTCCTTCCTCCGCCCCTCGGCACCACTGCACAGCTGCCATTGGGCAGTCACCTTGCCTGTCTGTGCCTCAGTTTCCCTATGTGCCAGATTGGGGTTGTCATCGTATTCAGCCTGTAGGATGATTTGAAGATGCTGTGCTCAGTGCCCAACAATAGGAAACTGAAACCCTAGCCCACTGAGTGGGTTCCCACCCACAGAGGCCCGAGAGCACAGGGCTGTTGTTGTTAAGTGCCGTCAAACCAGTTCCAACTCACAGGGACCCTGTATAGGGTTTCCAAGGAGCAACTTACAGTCCAGTTTGCACCTCCGACCTTGTGATTCTAACAGCCTCGCGGTACAGCACTTATCCTACAGCACCAGAGTAGGGCCACCCCGTAGAGTTTCCGAGGCTGTAGATGCACATGGGAGCAGACTGCCTCCTCTTCCAACCCTAGTGGCTGATGCGTTCAAACTGCCAACCTTGTGGTGAGCCATAGACTGCTTAACCCACTGCATCACCAGGCTCTGAGCCCATAGGGACCCTCTGAAGTGGCAGCTACATGGATGACTGTTGCAGATGGGATTGTGCACCCCTGAATCAGTGGGGCCCCCCTGCTGTGGGTGTGGTCCCTTCACGGGTGTTTCTGAGACTGCAGGAATGCAGGAAGGCCCTAAGGCCGGTCACTTCTGGAGCACAAGCGGACAGACAAACAAGAAGTGCAGATGGGGAGCGACACCGTGTGAGGGCCATGCCCAAACTCTGGAAACCAGGGCTGTGGAGATGAAAGAGGCAAGGACCTTCCCTCCAGAACTAATGCCTGAAATTCTGCTTCTGAGTTGGAAGGAAATACATTTCTGTTCATTAAATTCACCTGCTCCGGCGGCTCCAGCACATTAAGGCTTTGATGGTGACGATGATAATGTTGATGATGTTACAGCCATGACCACCCTGACTGTTCCTTCAGACAGCCTCCAGGTACACACAAGGTCCTCCCCTCCCTTCACCTGACTCCTGAGATAGTATTCTCTGGCATGCAGATCAGTGTGGGCCCCCTCCTCTGAGCCCTTCCATCCCACCATTCCTCAGGAGCTGCCCCTACCCCCCCAACCCTGGCACCCTTGCAGCCAGTGGGAGCTTCAGAAGGTTTGCAACGATTCGGTGATTGAAGGGGTCTGGCACTGGGCCGGAAGTCCCCTCCCTAAGGAAATAGTGGATACGGGGAACAGAGATTGGAGAAAGTATTATTAGGTCCAGGGGTTCCTTTAACTGAAACTACCTAAGGGGTACCCCTCAAGTAGATAGAGAGGAAAGGAGCCCCACTGTGGGGACTGGCTCCATCCTGGACCCTCTCTTGGGACCCAGGGAGCCAATCAGTGTGTCTTCCCATTCTGACTCATAGCTACCCTACATCGGGTTTCCCAGACTAAATCTTTATGAGAGCCAACTGCCTCGTCTTTCTCCCGTGGAACTGCCGGTGGGTTTGAACCACCGAACTTGTGTTGTTCTTAGCCCACAGCGCCACCAGGCTCCTTTTAGATCAAATATTGCTGTTATGTGCCATCGATTCTGACTCCGAGACCCTGTATTAAGGTTCTGAGAGCAGCTGATGGGTTTGAACTGTCAGCCTTGTAGTTAATAGCTCAGGTCTTATCCCACCGTACCACCAGGACTCCTTAGGATAGAAGAGGAGCCCCTTATTATTCTCCTCCAGTTGTAAGGCCTGGAGTCTCATTCTCTGCAGCCCACTTCCTAGGTGAACTACTGGATGTGGAGTGTGAGGTAAGTTACCTGGGTTTGTTCTCAGTGTCTTCTTAACAGAAGAGAAGGAAACTTTGCTTCTGCGAGAAGCGTTCATGCTTCAGAGTCCGAGTCTCAGATGTAAAGCTGCGTCTGTGATGAATTGGTGAGGTCATCTTTACTCAGTACGAAATAAAGACATGGCAGCATCTTGTGGACCTGGTCCGGTCCTCCGGAAGGCATTCTCCATAATCTCTCGGTCCTGACCCCGGTTTGTCTGACTAGCCCTTGGAACCAGCTGGGTCTTTCAGACCTGTCTTAGGGGATTCTTTAAACTTGGAAGTGCCTCCTTTGTTGATAAATGATCAACTATGAATTCAGAACACCTTGGTCATAGGCTCTGATGAAACTGGAGGTGGTCTTGTCTAGCAAATCCACATTGGGCAAATCTAATAACAGCACAGTGAGCCCCAAGTTTAGGGACAGGGCTGTAACATGCAGATGGTGAGATTTGTGGGTGTTGTTATCTTTGCAGAAGTGGGGACCACCCATAGTTGGAAGCCTTCGGTGTCTGTTTGCAGTTATAAATAGCTTGTCCCTGCTCCCTTCCCTGTGCCCCCTGCATCGGCCACATGCTTCCTCCATCTGAGTTAGTAAATTTCCCGATTTCCTGTCTCCAGGGGAAGCAGTGGCAGCCTTCCCGCGAGACTGGACAGTTGCAGCCCTGTGTTTTATTACTGCAGACCCTCCGCATCTCTGTAGAGACCACCACCCAGCTCCATCACCTTTGATTTCCTTTCTTCTGCTAGAGGACAGGTCAATTTGGAGTCTTTTGTGAAGTGTGTCCGATCCACTAGACCATGTCCCATTTCTCTCCGCTTCCTCTTATTTTCTGTTTAAACCGCAGAAACCTTTTGCCGAGGCTCTCGTGTCACGCTGACCCAGTGTGCTCTGCTCCAGACCAACCTGGCCTCCATTTCACTCCTTCTTGGTGGTGGTCACAGCACATTTCGTTTGTATCTGAGGCTCAGATGGGGCAGCATTTGGCCTCTTAAGGTGCTTTGTCCAGTGGTGAGGTGGTATCCCAGCTCACCTAGGACATTTGCACTTGCCAAGGCCTTATTTCTACCTCAGAGCGAGGTTCTGAATCCACATATAGGCATCCATTTTTACCCTTTGGTATTATTTTGTTTGTCTAGACCATTAGCCTTCCATAGGAGAATGACCTATTAATAAGAAGGCCTGTTAAGATTGTGGTACATGACATTGGGCTTGTCTACACACTTACCTGTATTCCCGTGTGTATTCAAGATGGCGTTTCTCAAATATTTAATAAGAATTAATAATTGAATGTACTAGAGCTTTCTTATTTCACCCTGGGATACCCGAAGATCTTTGAAGCTAAAATAGTGTTGGCCCTTGAGGGATTCATAGAAATGAGGTATGGCTGAGGGTGGAGATGCCAGCAGGGGATAAAAGGAATCCGTAAGGAATTTGCTGTTTCCAGTGACTACTGGAGTCCTGGTCAGCAGTTCAAACCCACCAGCCACTCCTAGGATACCCTATATGTGGTTGCTGTGAGTCGGAATCCACTCAAAGGTACTTCACAATAACAACAGTGATACTTAGAAGACATTTCTTTCTAGCTCCATTTCCTATCAACATGACTGTCTTAAGGGCAAGTACTTGAGGTGGCTTCCCCCCCGGGATCTAGGTGTAAAGTTAGCAGTCTTGGCGTCGGTGTTGCCTTGCCAGGTCTCAGAAATGGATGTGGGTGGGGGGTGTCACGTGATCATCTTACTTGTCAGGGATGCTTCTTCCAAGCATGGAGTCAGATTTAGGAGTGAAATTAGCAATTCAATTAGGCCCCTTCAGAGAAGGCCTACCAACTTTTAAAGTCTTCTTCAAAATGCATGTCTTGGTTCTCAAAAGCTGCCCGAGGCCCGCCCTAATTTGTGTCTGGGAAGGAGCGGGGTTTGAGTGGGGTTTCGCGGAGCCGTTCCTGGGAATGCAGCACAAAGGCTGACTGCTCTGAGATTTACTGTGCACCACCCCTGCCGTCGTTCCCAGAAGTATCAATTTTACCTCCACTAATAAGAACCTGGACAAAAGTGGAATTATGAGTTCAGTAGTATTGTATGAAAGGTCAGTTGTTAAAAAGGCAAAGTGTGACATTCTCTGAAAAGGTGCCTTCATTAATCATCCCGATAGGACGACGCCGGCGTTCTTGACCAACGCCACCCAACTCTGAGGTGAAGTTTCAGGGTCTCCTGAGCAAGTTTTCATACGGAAACGGCGTACCTCAGTCTGCCCTGAACTCATGCAGGGAGCGCTGTTGTCTTGGCAGTGTGCTGACTTCGTGGGTGGTTTCAGCGAGCAAAGATGTCTTCTCACAGGTCAGGGGCTGCAGGTCCGAACTCAGGGTTCCAGCCCTCGGCCAGGCTCTTTCTCTCGGCCGTCTCTCTTCAGCAATGTTCCCTTGGTTCCTGCAAGATCTTTATGTGGTGAAGCATCTGTCTTCCCCAACTCTGCTCCTTGTTATCTAAGTAACTTGCTGCCTTTAATCTCTAAAGAGATTGATTCAGAACAAAACCCATGCCCAAGTGGGGTTACAGGCACAGGTAAAGGGGTTATGATTGACGACACATATCTGGGGCGAGGGTACAGAATTCAATCCAGAACAAATTTACTTTTCTGTTCTGAAAAAGGAAAAACACACAGCTCGTTTTATAGGCGGAGTCCTGGTGTGGCACTGTAGCATCAACACATGAGGTTGGAGGTTCAAACCCACCAGCCACTCCCTTCAAACCCTATACTGAGTTGCTATGAGTCAGAACCAACTCGACAGCACTTAGTAACAACCGCAAGTTTTATAGGCAAGGGATCCTGGTTTGACACTGTAGGGTAAGCACTGGATTGCTAACCATAAAGTCGGTGGTTCAAACCCACCAGCCACACCTTGGAAACCCTATCCAGGGTCACTATAAGTCGGAACCGACATTGACACCAACAATTTTATAGACAAGTTATTATAGAAACATACTTTGGAAATATCATTCAGGAAACA